AGCTTTCCCTGGATCATCTTGAGAAGTTCAGCCCGCTGCTTTCTCAAGAGGCAATCCCACAAGGAGCCTCACCTGCAGTGGCAAGGGGCTGTTCGCTGGTTCACTATCGCTATTCGCTAGCTACTTCTTCGCATCAAGGGCCGCAACTGGCCCTTGATGCGTTTTTTTGTTTTTTTTTTAAACAAAGCCAAGAGTCTTTCATAACAAGCTGTAGAAGGCAGTCATCAAATAGGACCTCTGAGGAGTGCGAGCGCACGCGTGTTGTAAAAAAAAATAAAAATAAAATACAGATGGCGATACTCACGGGCAGACACTGACAATAACAAATGTTCTTCATTACATATTTTAGCGGCTGACCGCGTACGACGTCGGGTGTTGTGAATACGGCGCTTGGCGGGCAGGCGATGAGGTTAGCGGCTCGCTAACGGCTGAACGATGGTGAGTTTACGATGCGAGTGACAAGGACAGATTGCCTCGGGGCTCGTCTCACCATCGTTAGCTGGTAGCGGGAAGGCAACGGAGGATTCCAGCATTGTTCAGGTGTCAAATGCAAAAACCCCAACCATTCAGTTGCTGCAGTATCTAAAAACACTCTATTCATTTTGGCTCGAAACACCAAACCTCCTTTGAAGCCCAAACTTGAAACCTTTAAGGTGTCTAATCTCTCTTTGAAGCCCTACTCTGACACCTACCACTGACTCGACAGAGGAAACGCCATGGCATTTTATCGTGTGTGTTTTATATTTAGCGTTGGGGAATTACATCGCTCATGCTAAGCGTCGTTACTCTGCAGTTTTGAGTGTGGTTTGAATCTATAAGATATGGGCCAGAAACTCACGACGGAGTCACTGCGGCTGCGAATCCTCCCGCTTCTCATTAACCGCAAAGTTTTGCCCGGCTCCGCTTTCGAGAAGCCCGCCGTCCCGAAAGCGCAGCGGATTCCGACATTCCTAGAAGTCTTGGGTCGGGCTGGCGCAAGGCCGTCCTTGTAGCGCGTCCAGGAAAAGCGGGAACGTCTGCGGCGTTAAATGGATTTTTTTTTTTTGTTTTACCACCCACTTCAACTGTTCTATAGTTCATTGTTGCTCATC